GCTTGATCCCCAGTGTGGGGCATGCAGGAGGCAGCCAATCAATGATTCTCTCTCATCACTGATGTTTCTCTCTCTCTCTCCCTCTCTCTTCCTCTCTGAAATCAATAAAAATATTTTTTTAAATGTATCTCTCCAAACTGTGCTGTCCAACACTGGAGCCACCAGGCAATGTAGCTCTGAAAACGTGAAATATGGCTAGTCCAAATTGAAGGGTGCAGTAAATGGAAAGTACATACCAGAATTCTACAACTTAGTACAGAAGAAGGGGAAGACATCTCACTAATTATTATACTGATTACATGATGAAATGATATTTTGGATATACTGGGTTAAATCAAAATCTATTATAAAAATTTATTTCATCTGTTTCTTTACTTTTTTAATGTAGCTACTAGGAAAACTGACTACACGTCACATGAATTATCTTTCTAGTGGGCAGTGCAGTCGATGGGTCAGTGGGGAAGCCAGGATATGAATTGCTACTTATCCTAGCTTCTCAAACTTTCATTTGCATACAGATCACTTGGGTGGGGGTCTTATTAAAATGCAGATTCTAGTTGTGCAGGTCTGGCAGGGAGCTAAGATTCTACATGTCCCCTAAACTCATGGGAGCTGAGGAGGAGCAGGGCCATCCAGGTGCTATTTATCAACAAGGAAAAACTGTTTGGTGTTAAGAAGTGATGGGAACTTCTAGAAGAATGATCACACCAATTCAGAGTTGATAATAGCAAGTAAAGGAAATGGCCAGCAGGGTTACACTCAGCCTCAACTTTCAAAAATCAGTTATTATGTCTTGCAGGGAGGATTACAAAGAGGTGAGGGTCAACTCCAATTGCCTTCTACCTGTGAGGGCTGTAGGGATTGGAACTTGCTCTCAGATGGGAACCACTGATATGTACAAGGAACAATTCTGGACTAGGAAGTTTGAAATGGAATCTTGACTGGTGTTTCTTATATCCTGCCTACCACATAACCAGTGTCAAGAGCAACACCCTTCTGGGGTCTCACTGAAACCAAGTGTAAGTCTTCCTTCTTATTATGACCCACAAATAGTACTGACATGTCATGGCCAGAGGTCATTGCTGTGCAGGGTTATTTCTTATTTCAGTAAAACAGCTCAGGTCAATTGCAACCCTCTTGGAATGAACCTTGAGAGCAGTCCCAGTTCTCCTCAGTCCTTATGTAAATCATCTTGGGAATATAAAGGAACTTAAAGTTCAGACAAGGACATTATAAGCACAACTACCTGAGGCTAAGAATTCCCTTCAGGACCCACCTCTGCCTCCAGAGCTCCCACGCAGGGTAAAAAAGGACACCATGATCCGTTCCACTGCAAGAGGCTCTGGGAAACAAACTGTTTCCTTCTCACAAAAATCTCAAGGATGTGATAGCAACATATAACAATGACTACAAACTAAAGAAAGGGCATTGCTGTGTTGTCAAGGTCTGCAGGCAAGGGAATCCAAGCTGGAGGAGTTACAAACAAGTTGCTTTCTCTTTACTTTCAATTATTACCCTTTAACTTCCCTTACCCCTGCACACCCCCATACCAGCAAGCAAAACCCCCCAAAACGAACCTAACTGAAAACTGTTCATGACAATAGTCCAAAAATTCAGAAGCTGGGAAGAAAATGGTGGGAAAGCAATATGTGAGACCTCTCTCTCAGCACTGGACTTAAAGAACTTTCTTATTCATTTGCTAATTGACCATGGAAAGAAAGGCTAAGCATGAGCTCTGCTGTTTCACGTTGCAGTTGCAGTCAGGGATATAAGCCACAGACAACTGAATTTCTTGAAATGAACTCATCCAAACAATTCTAAACTTTGCCCCCCTTGCCCAGTTGAAGTCAAAGAATGTTTAGTAAATGTCTACTGCATGAAGAAGGCTACATTAGGTTTAACCTGCCCAGAACAACGTCTCCAACCTCAGCCATCTTAATTACAAGTTTGGAAATGGAAAAAAGCTAATACTGAAATACAAAGGTGTTACATATTAAAACGAAGAGTTGAGGAACATGATACTAAACTAATGTAAGTACATGAAATTTTCAAGAGCTACTTAATGGAGTAATTTCAAGATACTGAGAATCAAATTCAAGTAACAAACAAAGGAGTACTCAGCACCTGTCCTGTTTGAATAAGGCAGTGAGGACCTGGGGAGCAACTGGGTCACTGGATTTCTTCTTGTCCCAACACTAAGAGGCCATCAGCCAGTTTAGTATGGGTGGAGGAACCTGGCAGTGTCTCAAGCTGCATTGAGGATCTAAGGTAAGACACTGCAGAAAAAGGCAGGGGCTATTCTGTGATGGAGAGATTGCCTTGCTATCTATCGCCCTATGATTGTTGGTTTTACAGTACTATCATTTTAGTAATAAAGAAAACGGAAACTTGGGAGGTGTACCAATGGCTTCAGATCCATTTGAGAGAGTCAGATAAAACACTTGCATATCTCAATGCTGACAGAAGAGGGAGAGTGAGGCAGAGGCCACATCTTTAGCTATGGGGGAGATGAGCTAAGAACAGGAAGGACGCTGCCCTCTAACACAAGTTCTCCCAATAATGATGGCTTATATAACACACAACTGCAATAACAATAATGCCACCGTGTCTTTAAAGGTTGTTGCTGCACATTTGACTCTCTGAATAGCTCTGGGAATTTGGTAGGGCAGGTTTTCTTAGATCTATATTACAAATGGAAGAGACACCAGCAGTGAGGTAAAATGACTTGTCCCGTGTCATAGAGTTAAGAGGTGCAACTGGGACTTGAACTTGTCTTATGGAGTTCAAACTCAAGAAGATTTCTACCACGTTACATGACACAAGGCTCTTTCCCACTACTTGTTCCTCAGGTAGAATCAGAATGAAGGCAGTAGTGCAGGATGCCAATTTTCTAAAGAAATGCTTGCCACATTCTTAAAAACAAAAAGATGAGATTGTCTTGGCATTCTTGTGAAAAAATACATTGTAAACATTTAACATGAAAATCCATCCTCCAATTACATAATGGCAGGGGTCCTCAAACTCTTTAAACAGGGGGCCAGTTCACTGTCCCTCAGACCATTGGAGGGCCAGACTATAGTTTTTAAAAAAAAACTATGAACAAATTCCTATGCACACTGGACATATCTTATTTTGAAGTAAAAAAACAAAATGGGAACAAATACAATATTTGTATTTGCATGTGGCCCGCGGGCCGTAGTTTGAGAACCCCTGCATACTGGCAACTGGATCTCCAGTTGACTAACTCCAACTGGGTCTCCTGGTTCCTTCTCGCTTTCAAAGCAGAGGGATTTAAAGGATTCTCTTGTTCTATTCTTATTTGTAACAACAAACAAAATATGAACTCAAGTTATTTGAATCTAGACAGTAAAGGGAACTTACACTGCAAGAACTCTGATCACTGCTGCCAACATCACATGAAACTAAATGCTCTATTCAATAATGAAATGAAGAAAAATGTCTAGAAAATCAGGCTTACTAGATTTCCAAAACTTTATTAAAACATGTCTGAAATCCTTTTATTTTATTTAAAAGAAAAAAATGGAGTTCCATGTAGTTCAAGTCAAAAGAAAGGGGTTCCATGTAGTTCAACTTTTCTTGAGAGCCTATTCTAAACATTTAACATAGAGCATCACTCAGTCCTATCCAACTTCCCTTTGAGGAAGTTACAATTTTTATTTTCATTTTACAGATAAGGAAACTGAGGTACAGAGGTAAGTAGCTCCCCTAAATTCACACAGATAATACTAGAGCCTGGATTTAAATCCAGAGTCAATAGCTTATAGGCAAATGACAACCCCTGTCACCCCATCTGCCAGAAAGGAAAAATGAACTGAGAAACTAGAAAATAAAGAAAGCAGAACTTCAAAGAGGTCAGAAGCAGGGACAGGGATTACTAAAGAATAATGAAAACAACCACTTATTCTTTTATACAATTAAAAAAAAAACTTTAGAAATAACAAGAAACGCTAGCCTTTGAAATCCTTTGGCCACCAGTTCAAAATGTCGCCTAGTAAGCCTTGAAAAGGCTCTGCTTTTCTCATTTTGGAGCCTTCAATAAGAGCAAGAACCACATGTTCTTTTGGTGGTTTTTAAAGTAACTACATTTTGTTAATCCTCCTTTTATTTTGGAACAAAGATTACTAGAGTAGTTTATGTAACTTTTATCATTTTTCAGAACCTGTACAAATGAAAACGTTTGTTTTGAAGCCACTGAACATATAGAACATGAGAGAACTGAAAAGGTATTAACTAAGCAGATGAACTTTTTTTTTTTTTTTTGTCAGATGAACTTTCAGAATAAGCTATCATTAATGCCAGTTTACTGGCATTCTTGTTCTTAAGAAGCTGAGTGCTTCTTCACTCTAGAGCTACAGGCATACCTTGTGTTGTACTTCACTTTATTGCACCTCACAGATGTGTTTTTAACAAATTGAAGGCAAAACCAAAACCCTCCACAAGCAAAAAGATGACCACTCACTTTACTGTGGTGGTCTGGAACTGAACCTGCAATTTCTCCAAGGTATGCCTGTAATTTCAAAATGAATTTTTCTTTACAAACCACACAATATGAAGATTGACAAGAACCTACATTTCAGATAGTAGGTTCCCAGTACAAACCAGTGTGCAGGAAGAGAAATCAACAACCGACACTGACCTCAACAGTGTCTTCTGTAGCGAGAGTGAGGTAACCACTGATACAGCAAGGGACTTGAAAACTACCTCTCTAGGTGTTTAAAACCACTTAATGTTTGCATGTAAGGGGGAAAATTCAATTAAAAATGAGGCTGTGGTGCACTTATCATCCAAAAGGGAATGTCTGGAGAAATGATGGATTCCACAGAATCTGAGTCAGACAGATTTACTTTTCAATTTATTTACTGTAATGGAGTAGTATGTCTGTTTCAAAATTTATGCACTGTAATTAGTCGATGTATTTACAGTAATTTATTTATTATAATTAGTCTAAAACTATCAACTCAAAGTAATGTCCAACTCACTCTCATTCATGCCAGCCTGTTGTCATCATAGAGTTCCAAAGCTCTATTTTTCTTCATATTGTTCATCTCCACTGGAAAATATAGCATTGTTTATTTTTTATTGTCTACTTCCCTACATATTAGTTCTGTAAGGCAGGGACTTCATCAGTGGTACTGTCTGCTGTCTTCCCAGTGTGTAGGACATTGTGAACAGACCACAGGCCTTCTGGGTTGAATGAATGAATGAAACAACTGACAACTTGATAAATGTGTTAAAATTTTAAGGTAAGGAGACCAATTATTTAATAACCACACCAAAATCTGAAGACTCCAATGAATGTTCTCCACTTTCAAACATGTCAGGAGCTTGCTATACCCTGCCCAGCACCAATGGTTTGAACCTAATCAATGGTGTGGAATCTCTCAAGGATAGATTTGGTTTGTGAAATAGCCAAAAGTCACTCAGAGTCAAATCTAGTAAATAAGTTAATTGTGCCCAAAATATATGTTGGATGAAAACAACATGTGTCTATAAATTAACAAGCTTGTCTCATTTGGCTGGTAATCTGGTTTAGAAGGAAATTCAAAACAGTTTGAGCTACAACAAAATCGCTGGCTCAGTCTCAAACTCTAAGGTGGATAGTTTACAAGGAACAAAAACTGAGCCATGATTTAAAAAAAAAGTACCTAGGCTAGCCAGCCGCCAAGATATCCCCCAGAGACCCGACTTATATTAGCTTTGCCATTAAGTTGTCTGGCAGCCTGTGTCACATTAGTTATCCTCTCTGAGCTTCAGTTTCCCCATCCAGGAAATAAATGAAGTATATGAACTTCAAGGTCCCAGTCAATTCTAAAATGCCATCATTCTATTGTGAAGGTTTAGTAGTTCTGTTTTAAAACCAGTTACAATCCACTTCACCTCATCCTTCGTATGCGTATAAAAGGCGTATAGTATTTTTTGCAGCCGATCATTTCATCTTTGCTTAGGCAAATACTAAAATTAGTTTTCACTTCCTGAGTGCAGCAAAAGACAGTTAAGGGAGGTAACCCGGCAAACAGCGCTTGCTGGTGCCTGTGCATACTTCCGACTGCGTTTCAGGGAACTAACCTTTCCCTTTCAGATCTTCCTTTAACTGTTGCAAAAACAGACAAACCTCCCATTTGTGACAGAAACAAACACTGGCAAAGAGCGCAGAACCAGGACTCACGGCAAATGACCAGCTGTGGCCGCTCCACAGAACCCACGGGGGATGAGGCGGGCACCCACCCCGCGCGCAGAGCCGCGGTGAGGACCAGCAGAGGCGCGTCGCCAGGGAGACAGGGCGGCCGCCTGGCCCACTCGCCGCCCCAGGACCGGGAAGTAAAGTCCAGGCAGCGGCCACGACGCCCCAACCCCCATCCCCCGGCCCTCCGGCCCTCCGGCCCGGATTCCAGACCCGACCTTCGCGCGCCATGGGCCTGAGACCTTGGACGAGGAGAACCTGGAAGCCGGAGGCACCTGCCTGCTGCTCTCTGGCCTCAGCCCTGGCCGGCGGGAACAGCCAGGCATTTGGGCAAATCCACCCACCCCCCGGGCGCTGCGAGACACCTCGGGACCTGCCGTCCTGGGGAGTCTCAACTTCCTCTTCTTGGTCCCCCACCCCACCACATCACGGGTCCCCGCAACAGCCAGCTGGGAGACAGGCCAGCCGCAAGCGTTCACCCACCTTGGGATCCGGGCGCCACCGCCGTTGCCAGGCTGCTGGGCTCCCGGGCCCCGCTCCGCCCCCTTCAGGTCCTCCCCCTGCGGGCTCCCCGCCCTTGGCCACCGCCCTCCGCCATTTTCTGCGCGCCAGTTGGCGAGGATGCATCACGTGACAGGGGCGGGGTGGACGGAGGGCTCCAGGAAGCCTACAGAGCCTCTCCCAGGGGCGGGGCTCTTCGCCCAGGAGGCTGCTGGGAAACCCTCTTTGAAGGGTCTGGCGAGAGGAGGCTACTGGGAGTTGTAGTTTAAAATAGGGTGCTGGGAATGGGCTGGCCAAGATACTGGAGGCAACCCTTGGAGTAGGATCCAAGCAGAGGCTCCTGGGAAGCGTAGTCCCAGGACTCCTGTTTTTCTCCAAAAAGGGGAAACCCAGATGGAAAACTTCCCTAGATAAAACTTTAGCGGAGGTCACTAAATTTAGCTATTATTGGGTACATAAGGTTGGCTACGTGAAGTTGAGATACTAAAAGGGAAAAAAGAAGTTTCACTTTCTCTCGTGCAGAATCTGCAATTCACAAACACAGCTCAAAGTTGAGGCATTCTTCATCCAATGATAGCACCTTTGCAAGAACTCTCTTGAGACTTAGTGACAAAGTTCCTTCTACTTTTTGAGGTTTGGAGCAGGCAAACATTAATAGAGTAAAAAGAAAGAAAAAGAAAAAAAAGGAGGAAGACCGCTTCCAGAAGGGAATTCAGTGTGCAATTTAAAACACACACACACACAAAACAAAAACAAAAAACACATACTTGGACTCATAGACTATGTGAAATATTCTTTGTGATGCATGACAATTATACATAAGCAGTTCAGGTAAATGTTGGTTAATAGAAGTACTTTAACATGACCTTTTCCCTCTCATATTTCCCCCTCAGCATCTAAAAGCAAATGTTTTACATACCAGTATATATGTGTATAACCCTATATCATTATATATACACATAAACACATATTAATTCTGTTGAAGAGTTCAGACTTCTCAGATGAGTAACAAGCCCTTCAGATTCCAACCCCATCTACTCTTCAAGACTTTTGCGAATTCACCTCTTCTCTCTCTCTATTCATCTCAAGTTTTGGTCTAGGCACAGGAACTTCTTTCTATTTTCTGGATGTACCAAGTTATTTCCTCCCTCCAGCCTTTTATACTCATTCCTTTCTCCTGGATTCATCAAACTTCTAGAAAGGTGGCAGAATAACACTTGCTCCTGAGCCAGGTAGAATTAAAAGCTCTCCCCAGAGCCCTCCTCATAGCACCAGTGTCATCATTTGCTTGTTTGCCTGCCAACTCCCCTCCCAGAACTGCTTTAATCACATTCACTTCATACTGGATTTGAACGAGTGCTCAGTAAATGCTTCTTGAGTGTATGTATTTATGCCAGAGAGGCTTCCTGGTGTGCTACTGAATAACTGGATTCCCAAATCTCTGAATCTTGGAGCAGAGGGAGAGAGGAAAATGGATGGGTGGAGGCACTGTGTTCAAGGATGAGGCTGAAACCCTTTGCTCCATTAGGGGAAAGCAGAGGCACTCCTCATCTCAAGGCTGTAGTTACTGGGAAAAATTTCTCCAGCACCTCTAATCTGGGTCCAGCCCTAGCTCTAGAGCAGTGGTTCTCAACCTTCTGGTCCTTTAAATACCGTTCCTCATGTTGTGACCCAACCATAAAATTATTTTCGTTGCTACTTCATAACTGTAATGTTACTACTGTTATGAATTGTAATGTAAATATCTGATATGCAGGATGGTCTTAGGCGACCCCTGTGAAAGGGTCGTTTGACTGCCAAAGGGGTTGCGACCCACAGGTTGAGAACCGCTGCTCTAGAGGGAGACAACCCAAGCAGAAAGGGCTGGTAGAAGAGACCAGTTTCTGGCCTGTGAAATGGAGATAGTGACTCCTGCCATGCCTGCCTCACAATGTGTGTGTGGGGATCAAGTAAGGAAGAGAGAAAAGTACTTTGAAAACTGTAAAGGCTGAGGGCCACAGAGTTTTCACCTTCCCTTGGCCAAGTTGCTATGTTCTGGGCCAAGTTTCACCCTCCCTCAGGCCATGTGTTTGGGGTTCTTCAGCCTTCCCTGTATAACACACACACACACACACACACACACACACACACACACACACACACTTGCACAAACACACCAATGCAGGAGACCTGTGGAGAGATGGCCAGCCTCCTGGACAATAGGGAGGAGGAGCAATAGATGTGACATAGGGCTGCTTCTTTGATAATCTTTCTGGGTGGGACATTTTTCACCTATTTCCCTAGAGTCCTCCTGCTTTTGCTAAGGCACAGGCTGGAGGTGTCTCATCCTCTAGGGCTCTATCAATTTCTCCTAAGTTGGGGGAAGTGGAACAGGTAGAATTAGTAGGGGTCTATACCCTTGACCTGGCCAGGTTCACCCATTACCCCCGCTCCCAGCCTTCTGGGTGAGAAACAGGCCCGAGAAAGGAAATGGACTGTTTCCTGCTTCTCTCCCTTAGCACACTCACCACATGGGCCCTGCTGCTGGTGCATTTACCTCTCAGTCTTCACACCTGCCAGGCTAGGGATTGCCACCACCTGGTTTTACCAGGTTCACCTTCCTCCACTGGTGGAGGAAGGTGGAAGAAAGTGAAGGGCAGCCTTACAGAGGAAGAAGAAAGTTGAAGAAAGAGATTGTCAGAAATGAAAACTTTAAATGTAGCCGAGACACTGTGCTCTGGCAGAAAGCACTTGGAATCAGAAACCTGGATGCCTTGGGAAAATTAGTTCACCTCTCTGATCATTAGCTGCTTACTCTGAAAAAAAAAAAAAAGGGTAGTCAAATATCACCTCTCAGGGTTGCTGTGTCCTAGGACAGCAAGGACAGAGGTGAGTGTAGCGTATAGAATGACAAGACAGCAGCGTTGCCAAGCTGCCAGGCTGGTTGATGAGCAGGGTAATAGCCCCTGGGTATTGGCACGAAGGCCTCTGGGCTCAAATCCTAGTTCTCGCATTTGTTAGGTATGTGACTTTGGGCAGGTAGTCCCTCACCTATGAACTAAGAATATTGGTATCTACTTCATAATCTTCTTGTGAAAAATAAACACATGAATGCTGAGCACTAACTTCTGCTTCTAGAACCACAAGAAGAGGGAAGACTCTGCCTCCCTCTTACTACCCTGCCCTTTATTTGCAAAGTAGCCTCAGCAGAAGGGTTCAACCACATTGGAAAATAGGTTGGCAGTGATTTATAAAGTTCAATGTACATATGGCCCAGCAATACCACCCCAGGTATTTATCCAAGAGATATGGAAACATGTTCATAAAAACAGTTGTATTCAAATAATTATAGAAGCCTTTTCAAAATAGTAGTCAAAAAGGTAAATAAGTCAAATGCCCATCAACCAGTAAATGGCTCAATGGTGATCTGTCCACACAGTGCAATGCTACTCAGCAATAAAAAGGAAGAACCAATTATACATGCTATGTTATGAAAGAATCTCAAAAGTATTATGCTAAGTAAAATAAACAATACACAAAATATTACATCCTATATGACTCTATTTATATTACATTTGGGAAAAGGCAAAACTATAGTGATAGAAAGCCGATTTGTGGTTGGCTGGAGTCAGAGGTGTGGTAAGCAGATTGACTGCAGAGAGGCAAAGAGAAGTTTTAGGGCTGACGAAAATGTTCTAAGCTCTGATTATGATGGTGATTACATGATTATACAATTATCCAAACTCATTAAACTTTAATCATAAAATGAATGAATTTCATTGTAGATAAATTATATTTTGATAAAGCTGAGGTTTAAAGGCAGGAGGGGTATCTTCACTTAAGGTTCCTGAGGCTGCCTACAATTGTCAATCTGTTTTAGTTTAGTTGGTGGGGTAGTTATTTGTTTTTTAAGTCTTGCTCATACCATTTATTTTTTAATTTTATTTTTCAATTACAATTTATATTCACTATTATTTTGTATTAGTTCCAGATGTATAGCATAGTAGCTAGCAATTATATACACTACAAAGTGGTTCCCCGATATTTCAATCACCCACCTGGCACAGTATGTAGTTATTATAAAATTATTGACTTTATTCCCTATGCTATACTCTACATTCCAAAAACCATTTTGTGAGTACCAATTTGTTGTTTCCAATTCTTTCACCTTTTTCACGCAGCCCTCCAAACCCTTTCCCTTCTGACAACCATCAGTCTGTTCTCTGCATCGATGAGTCTGTTTCTATTTTATTATTTATTTATTTATTATAAAATTTATTTTTTTAAATTACAGTTTACATTCAATATTATTTTGTATTGGTTTTAAATGTATAGCATAGTGGTTAGACAATCATATACTTTACAAGTGTTCCCCCTGATATTTCCAGTACCCACCTGGCACCATACAATGTTATTGACTATATTCCCTATGCTGTATTTTACATCCCCATGACTATTTTGTAACTACCAACCTGAACTTCTCAATCCCTTCACTTTTTTCACCCATCCCTCATTCCCTATGGCAACCATCAGTCTGTTCTCTGTATCTATGAGTCTGTTTCTGTTTTGTTTGTTTGTTTACATTGTTCTTTAGATTCCACATGCAAGTGAAGTCATATGGTATTTGTCTTTCTGTATCTGACTTAGACTTATTACCCTTAGCATAATACTCTCTAGGTTCATCCATGATGTAGCAAATGGAAAGATTTCATTCTTTTTTATGGTCAAGTAATATTCCATTGTATATATGTACCACTACATTTTTATCCATTTGTCTATTGATGGGCAATATCTTGACTATTATAAACAACACTGCAATGAACACAGGGGTGCATATATCCTTTTGAATTAGCATTTTCGGTTTCTTTGTATATATACCCAGAAGCGACATTGCTGGGTAATAGGCAGTTCCATTTTTTTTTTTTTTAAGGCAAGGATTTTCTTTTCTTTTCTTTTTTTAAAAATATATTTTATTGATTTTTTTTTTTTTTTTTTTTTTTTTTTTTTTTTTTTTACAGAGGA